TGTTAAATGGTCCAAGATAATTGTTCATGTTGCTAGAACCCGTCAAAACAGCATGATTTAGATCTATATTAAGATCTATATGCTCTATTTGAACTTTTTTTGTTGACAGACACACATAGCAAGTACAAGTTCATATAATAATCGTTACTTACACGGCTATTTAAGATGCAAGATTTGTCTTTCAGGATCTTAACTCTGATTTCTTTAATCCATCCACAGACGAAAAAGTTGTAGGCATCCATGTTTTTCCAATTGTTTGGCAGTGCAAAAGCTTGTTTGTAACACTAGATAGTTTGAGATATCGGGGAACTCGCAAGTTAAATCATTCTTGGATAAAGCATAAGGCTCTATTCCGTCACACAATTCGACTTCCAAGAATTAGAATCTAAAGCATGAAAATATTCGGACGAAGAGTAACATCTTCTTTGCACATTGGCAGCCATTTTTAATTGGCCTAACCAAAACTTCATTAACCAGAAGTAACTGTGTCACGTCATTGCAAGCCAATAATTGTTGGAAATTAGTTAAAGACTCTGCAAATGTACTGGTTAAACATCTGATGAACAGTTTACCTTTAGTGTATTTGCACCTCTAAGTTAACTGAAATGTTTATTTTTTGGGGGTTTGAGCTTTTAAAGTTTATATTCTATGAGAACATAAACTGAATTAGATGCTACAGTCTTATGATTCACTGATACCAACCAATTTTAGAATCACTTTTGTTTCTATATACCAACTCACAGTGCAGTTCTTCATTAAAAGTAGTACATATACCATAAAATTACACATTATGTTTAATCATACTGATGGATAGCCTTCCACATCAATTTTACATAAAATCTAGCTTGTTCAATCTGTGCTTTGTATTGAGTTTTTGATTATTTGTTCCCTTACAAATGTTTGTGTGTTTCCAGGTAATTGTTTACAGATAAAACGTAAAAAAAAATATCTTATCTAGCGTCATAAACTTGGTTTTGAACATAATAAAATGTATTGACTGGTTCTACAGCAGCTTATCTCGACCAACAGCTGCTGTGTTGACATAGCATAAAAGAGCAGGTCATATTAGACTGAAGTAAACATCAATATTATGAGTGGAAAATAAATTGTTATATTAGGTCATTCCATTTAATGGAATGACCTATGATATTTTATTTGCAAAGTAAAAGAACATAAATAGGACATCTTTGTTTTTTAATTACCATAAAAATGTTTCGGGATTAGTTTAATTCTCACAAAAAAAGAAAAATCAGACAGAACCAGAACTTGGTTATAGTCTGTCTCTAATAAGCATTTATTAAAAAAAGATGTTATGTGTTTTAAATAACACACAGGACTTTATTTAGGTTCTCCTTATCAAATATGCCCATTTTGTCCTGTGATATATATTGAATGTCTCTATGTGGTTTTGATATATTCAAACAGAAAAGCCACAGACTTGTCATTGACACATAGAAGGCCAAACTAAAATGAAAAAAACACACCTTAAACAACAGAACATACTATGGCTTGATAAAAGCAGGATGGAAATCTTTGTGTTCATGTGTATTCAAAGTTGTGTGTTAGCAATATTGCACTACATACAAGTTGATTTTCCTAAGAGATAAGTAATAGCTTACTTATTTAAAGACCAATGTGTAATATTTCATGGTTTTTATTGGTATGCAAGCTGGCCTTTGAAAAAGCTCTTTCTCCCATACTCAGATTTATTATTCACAGCAGACAGACATTTTCTCCTTGACTGTAAATGCATCACATTTTAAATCAGTTAGATGAAAGCATCTGTTTTGAGTGCTTATTACTTGCTCCAGCAAAAGACAGTCCTTGTGCTGGTAATGACTGCACTCTCTAGCACGGGTATGGCATTCCTCGATGATTTGAATGCATAATTAGCATAATAAATACCTCTGTCATATTCGAAGACTTGCTCCATGAGGCAATCACTGCGGAGAGCAAATCAACAGTTTCCCTTCCTCGGAAAAAAAATCTGACAGTAATATGGATGTAATTTTGTATTCATGACATAAATAAATGCATGTGACTTACACTTATCCATACAGTTTTGCAGTGTTGACTGTCTTTGTGTGGAATAAACGAGGAATGAATTCTTAGTAAAGCTCCAACTGTATAGAATATATAATCTGCTACCCCATAGCTTTGTCTTCAGCCATACCCAAGTGGGGAACAACATGTCATTATTTCGGACCGATACTCGCTGTGCAAGCTGACAGCCGCATGTAGATCTGCACTGTTGCATGTGCATTGTAAACAAGCTATGAATACCATTTTCCACTATAGCAGAACTATATGTCTTGTGAGGTATAAAATGAAAATGTCTTATTTCCAATTTCAGGACAGTAGGAAATACTCCCTCATTTCAGCTGAGGAGAGAAGTTTTTAGGCTTTGCTCATGCTGAAAATGGGAACGCCTTGACAGTGAGGATAAATATGATGACTGGGCCATATAAAAGGTCTCTCCATGTAATTACTGTTTTAACTTCCAGGATGTTATTGTTTTTGTCTATCATAAACTTATTCCGTGCCTCAGCACACAAATTGTCCCTCCTGTATCTGCATTTTGGTTTTGAACAAATAATTACAGTTTTTCATAAATTCTGTTTGTAAGAAATGCAGAACAATTCTAGTTGTAGTTTTTCTACATGATGACAAAACTCTTCTTTCCTTTGTTACTGCTACACTGAAACTGCAGTTTTATGTAAGAGTTCATCTGTGTCAGCTACAGTCCCTTGCAATAGTATAAATTGTTATTGTTCCTACCGTTTTAAGAGACAGTCGCCTTGATATCACATTATGTGTCATCACAGCTGCAGGATTTTATAAAGGTTGGATCCACTTGTGGACAAAAATGCACCCTCTTTACATTTAGTGGCAAACAGAGGCCAGGTTTATTCTTGTTTGTTCAGCTTAGAGCGGATTTATAATTGAACTCTCTTTATTTGTTATAGAGTAGTCCTTTGCAACAAATATCTCTATGATAGATAATATAAAGATGAAATAAAATTAGAATATGTCTCTCTCTGTATGTTCTGTTTAGTCTTGTTTACTCTGACCTTCCTACATGAAATCCAGTGTAACAAACTGATGCAGAGGTTTGTCAGAGGACATTAATGAACAACTAACATTACAAATGACTAAGAAACTCACCAGATCCAGTCAAGAAGTGATAGTGCATATTTTGCACATGGATGTGAAATGCTTTTCTTTAGCATGGGATAAGATCAAGATGAGAAGAATTTGAACATATTAGCAAACCTGCAAGAAATGTAGCAACATTGGAATGAGCAAACATGTCTACAATATGCAAAGCTAGTATCAAGGCATTCTGAACAGCAACTCTTGAACACACTGACTAGAAATAATTCTAGAAATAATTCAACATCACAAACATTTGCTAATTTTTACTGCACAAAAAATCAATTAGTGTTCAATTGTATTATGACAAAAGGGAAGAGAAATTCAAGCAGTATAAATTCTTGTGCAGGGCACTGCTTGTTCCCTCTATTGTAACAGCTGGTGAATATACATTAGCTTGCTATTCCAAAGTATTGCTAAGCTTTGGAAAATGAATTGGCTTGATGATGGAGAGGATGCATTATCTGGTGGTACAGAAGAGTGTGTGTGGCCCAGGCAGACTATAGCCACCTCCAGCCCTCAAGGTAGGAGTGGTAGTCTCCTGGGTTCTGGTAGCAGAATGGGCTGAAGCTGTCATCTAATTCATCACAGCTTTGCAGGAAACAAGCAATCTTGAAGAAGTTTCCAGAAAAAAGGGAAAGAAAAAGAGGAAACCTTTGCAAAAGACACAGCAAGTTTGGCTAGGCAAAGAAAATTCCCCTGCTCGCCACTGTTGTTGACTGTCAGCCTCTTCCTGGCTTAAATGCTGAAACACAAGTGATATAAAAAAGACAATAGAGCATAGAAAATACAAAAAAAACTAAAAGTCATTTGTGCAGAATCATAAAAGTAACCAAACACAGTGTACTGCCCAGTGCTTCAACTTACTTATTTACTTACACGTCTGTGTCAGTGTATATTTTCCGTGCATGTGGATATGATTGTTTAGCTGCTGTGAACCACCATTCACAGTGATGTCCTTACAGAGGTACCAGCTTGTGGGATATGAAATGGTGCTAAAGTGTTTCCGTGACAACCAGGGTTATCTGTCCAATCAGGGTGTGAGGCCTACAGACTGAGAAAAGGTCCTCCAGGGAGCTGTTCCTCAGTTGGTTCAAAATGCTTCACCACGAAGAACATCCTTTAAGGGGGGGGGGGGATCACAAAGTGAAATTCCGCTCCAAAAGGGTACTTTGACATTCTGTGGCGTAATTGGAAGCACTTTATAAATCGAGAGGTTCTTTTAAAAATGCATTGAACGGCAGAGAACAGGATGCTTGCAATTTTGATTCCACTCATGAACCTCTCTGCAGCAGCCTGTCAGGCTTATACCATATATGTTATAAACCACCCATTTGTCAAACTGCCAAGTTTTTTATTGTTTTTTATTTCTATGTATAAAAGTAAGAGGCATATTTGAGTACAAGCCACCTGCTCATTGAAGCAAATCTCCTTCTGTAATCTCCTTCTATCTACACCACATCTTTTTTCCCTTTTCCTCCCCTTTTTTTTGCTTTTTTCTTTTTTTGCTCTGAAGTTGCATAGTGGTTTCATCATCTTGAGCAATAGGAGCCAGTGGGGTATCGCACAAACACAACAGACAGGCTCATTTTTCACAGGTTGACTTCCGAGCTATTCTGCAGGATGTGTCACGACAAACGGCGGATATGTGACAGACTCACGTCGCACCCGTGTCCTTGCATTAGAGAGAGGAGGCAGTATATCATGTGCGTGTGTGAGTGTGTGTGTGTGTGTGTTGTTTGTGACTATGTGCACACCTGCATTGGAACCAATGTGTTTTTTTAGTTTAAAATAAGTCCGCAGGGAAGGCTTGCTCCTTATGCAGTAACGGTGAACCTTATCCCCAGCAGGCCTTAGCTCTCCGCCAGCCAACATCACCACGTCCGCCGTGCCCAGCATCGTCACACCCATCGTCAACGGATTCACCGGCATCCCTCATCAGCCAAACGGGCACCCTGCAGTGGAGACGGTGTACACCAATGGCCTGCCGCCCTACTCTACCCAGAGCCCCACCGCCGCCGACACACTGCAGCAAGCCTTCACCGGTGTACAGCAATACACAGGTGGGTGAAAAGAAGACTTCATAAATGCCAAACATGTAGTATCTGCAAGATAATTACCACAGGGTGTTTACAGTGCGTCAGAACACATCAGAGTGCCTTTGATTGGACATGTTACGCCTGTATGAACGACCTTAGGCATCCTTGACACCGTTCTCTGCTGGAACCTCTTGTTTTTACACCAGCCTCTCTTTATTTCCCTCTCCCTTTCTTCAGCAATCTACCCAGCCACCACGCTGACTCCCATCGGCCAAACACTGCCCCAGCCGCCGCAGGTCATCCAGCAGCAGCAGCAGAGAGAAGGTGAGGGTGAGAGAACATTATTACTTTCACACTTCACACATCCCATCCTACTGTAATGGTTATATAAAGCAGAGATGAGCATGAGAGGCCAATATTGCTTTTACAGTGTACACATCTCAATTCTGTGGAATGGGTAAACAGAGTGGAAAGGTTGAGGAAACAATATTACATTTCACACCTAAACTTAGGTAACTTATACATTATATACACCATAAAGATACAGTATAGATAGATGGAGAGCAGTGATAATGCAGCTGTATTAAATTTTCTGTTTTTATGATCAACATAGTCATATGCTCTTTTTTTATAAGTAACAATAAAATCCTTAGTAATAAACCTGTAAGAAGCATGCTGCTGCAGCCAAGGGGGACAAGAATTATGAAAATGTAAAAGTAGGAAAACTGGGGCAGCTTTCATAAAAATATTTAAAGTGGATCATGGTGATTTTTTATGCTCACACCTGCTGCATAGCTGAAAAAAGGGGAGGAAGAAAGAAAAACTGTGTCAGACAGAAAATTCTGGCGATATCACTAGATTGTCAATTAAAGTTTGTCAGTATAGGGTTTTATTAAGGTAAAAAAAAAAAGTTTCGCACATAATCAGGAAAAGTATATGAAATGTTACAATTTAAATTAAAGGTATATTGGAAGATTTGGGCAAATATTTGAAAAGACCCGCCATCTCCACTCTAAAATGCACATGCACAACCCTTTACCTGCTCCCGAGAGGGAGCGTCTATTAAACCCGTGTGAGACCATGAGCGAGCCCATTTCTCCTTGTGCATGGTCTGTTTAAAAGTTGATGTTTGCATTGCTCATACAAGCTGACTTTCCAAAAGGAGATTTGCAATTTTTCCACTGTTTCAGACTCACCACCGGTAAGTGAAAACGGGCACGAGCACGTAGGATGGCCTTACGTAAACAGAATGATTGACAGTTAGGAGGACCACTTATTTTTATGATCTACCTGGAAAAAGAACATCCTCCACTATACCTTAGAGCATTTTTATGTATATAAAGAGAAAACAACAGGGAAAATATTTATTAATTTATTTCAATTGCTGTTATTGTTAAAATGTTGTATCCTTACATACACTTCGCTATGGTCAAGTTCCAAAATCCATTCTTTCCCACTATAAAAAAGTCACTAAAAAGTCTAGTTTTGTACACAGAAGCACTGGCTAAAAATAAGGAAGGGTGTAACGGTCTTGAAAATTGGTGGGGAAAATAAGGTTGAAGGCTGATGGAACTACAGTTATGCAATTCGAACGCTTAGGTTTTTTTTATTTTTCAAAATTGAGTCCAAAGATATTATTGAAATTATTGAAATATTTATATATAAAGATAGTTAGACAGATACCTTTTAGTGCACAATCTATCTATCTATCTATCTATCTATCTATCTATCTATCTATCTATCTATCTATCTATCTATCTATCTATCTATCTATCTTCCATTATATTGAACTGAATAAATACATTTAAGTTGAGTAAATAAATGTATTTAAAAATGAATAGAAATGCTTGGTATTTAAAATAAATCCATCTATCCATTTGGAAAAATTGTAGAAAATTAAAAGAACAAATATTAACACAACACTGTGCAAATTATAATTCCCAGACATCCAAACTGTTAAACTGATGTGGTTTTTGATTGGTGGGTGAATGAATGGATGATTTCTCTTTGCAGCTGTATTAGTGATTACCATCCCTCACAGCAAAATCTAATTTCGACTTTTGTCCCTTATATTGTTGACAGTCAAAGTCTGGGTATTGAAAGTTATATTTCAAATGATTGATTAACTTAATATTACTCTGCTGTTTGTGCTTTAATCCTTGTAGGTTTCTTATATTTCAATTTTACGTCTGTCTCACTTGTGAGTTGGACTCTCCACCTGTCTCTGGGTTGGCTAAGACAACTATTTCTACCTACTAATAAAATGATGCCAGAGAAAAAAAAATTGTCAAGTCACCTCTGTGTGAGAAAATATCAGCAAGATTTTCATTTGGGATATCAGAAATCCCAAATTCAATAAGAAAACAACAGATGTGTGTTAACTTTTACCTTTCACCGTTAGTCATGGTCCTCTGACTGAGGAGCCGAGCTGAATTGCTTTTTTTATCTAGTAAAGAAAACAAAAACATTTAAAAGCTGTTTTATTGCATTATAGTACTAACTTGGGAAGATAGCACTTTATTGTCTGTTGCTGTTTTTTTGTTGAAAAAGCTCTGAATGTCTAAAATCTTTCTGGATGGCATCTCTACGCTTTTAACCAATTTGTAACTTTCCTTAAACATAATAGAAAGTAGCTACCATTTAGAATTCACTGAGCGCTACTGTGTTTTTTTCTCTATTTCAATCATGCAGCTATAAAGAATATAGTGATTAGCGACTACCAATCATATTATATGTCAAAGTGACAGATCCAATGACGTTACACCAATAGGCGGGACTCGGGAGCAGCAGGAGAGGGAGAGGAAAAAAAAGAAAAAAGCTGAATTTATTGGTGTGAACAGTTCTACTAGTCCAAAGTTGGCGGGGACATGTCCACACCAGTCCTTAAGAAAGTTACACTTGTGAAAAAAAGGCTTGAATGAGTGTGGATAAGAATTTTAATGTGACACGAAAAAGATTTAGGAAACCCATTTATAAATAGGAGCCAGCATGTTGAGACATGTATTATAAGTTTGAAGTTATTTTAAGGTATTTATAAATTAGTGAGTTACAATTTGAAAATAAAATAAAGACAAATCCACATAAAAAAGAAAGACTAGTCCACATAAAGTGCATCTATTCTGTAAAACTATTTAAAGCCATCTACCGATTCAGATTGAAACGTTGAAAACCACAAAGGACCAATTCAATAGACAACTGTGTCTCTCTCTTCAGTTATTTTGGCTTGATGTCATAAAGTAGAGTAAATATGCTTTTCAAACTGACATTGGTTCCTCTCCTTCCATGTTTAGGTCCAGAGGGATGTAATCTCTTCATCTACCACCTGCCCCAGGAGTTTGGAGACAATGAGCTCATGCAGATGTTTCTGCCCTTTGGTACAGTCATCTCATCTAAGGTCTTCATGGACCGGGCAACTAACCAGAGCAAGTGCTTCGGTGAGTTACACATACTGGTCCATTCACGCCACATCGACAAAGATATGCAAAAGCCTGCAAAATAATGTTTTATTACAGTACCACTAGCCCACAAGAAAAATTGTTTAAAAATGATATTGCCACAGTTAGAATAATTTCCATCTTTTTGAGCTTTTTATATTTCTTCTTCAAGTCCACGCAAGTTATTCGTAGTGATCCAACACTTCATGTGTTCCTTATATAAAACATAAATAGCAAAGAGACCCATTTCTCTGCCTTTTGAAAAAACAAAAGGTGAAAGGTGAGATTTTAAGTGATTTAACTCAGGTAGACGTAGTAATTTTCATGTCAGAAAAAAGACATGCTTACCTAAAGCTACACATATCTATTGATAAAACAATTATTTAAAAACACAAGATGACTTTTCCGACTGAGTGATCACTTCTCCTTTGAAATCATGAGGAAAACCTCCTCACTGTCTGGCCACTGTCAGTCAAAAATCCTCAAGTATGTTAGCCAATCAGCAATGAGAATCCAGCTTTACAACCCCACCCCCCTGCTCCATAAACCCCCTAAGAGGTTTAGCCTCACTGAAAGTGACATATTTTGGAGTGTTATTCAATCAGGGCTTTCTCTCTTGCTTGAGCCTCAATGGGGATTTCTTATAGAGACTGAAAGGAAGTGTCCTGCTGCTTCAAAGTGGAAGGACGATCGTGTATAAATAGCTGATTAACTTACAACATACTTTTGTAATCAGCCGCATTTTAACACATATTTAATGCAGTTTAATGACTATAATAATTTTATGAAATTCCAGGACAGGTTTAGCTTCTCTACTATTCAGATAATCAGTTTTGTTCCCTAATGTAAATTCTGTAAAAACCTGGGATAATGCAAACTTCTTCGTAGAGAGCTTATGCGTCATCTTCTTTTTTTTCTGCTCTGATGATTTCTGTATTATAACTGTAGGACCAGGGAACAAAGCAGCAGCTAATGAAGAGTCCAGTTGATGAACAGTTTATGTTCATCTTTTAGTAAGATAGCTTACTGAATACCTAATTTGAAAAATATGTTTTTTTTTAATAATTTATTTTAAATTCTTCCTTTTCTCAGTTTATCCCGGATGTGACAGAATTTGACAACCTGCAAACTGTGCATTGATCGTATCCCAGACAGCCTGGCCCCAATTTACATTCTGATGACTCCTTGTGCTTTGGCATGAACACAGAGAAAAAGATGCTCTGAGTACATGGCTTTCAAATTATCCGAGATGCAGTCGATCAGACTCCATGTCCTTGTTTCATTTTGGCAGATGCCTGACCCAGAAACCTCAAGCCGCTGTATCAGCATCTTCGTCACTATTCTGTAACCCCTTCTTCCTGTCAATACTGGCAACTGCTAAGACTTAATCACACACCTCCAGACTTCCAATTTTCATTAAGCTCATTTTAGACACTAACTTAACCTTACAGGCACTGGAGAGCTTGACAGTGTCTGTTCAGGGGAGGACCTGAGCAGGATGTTTATTGAACAGTGATTGTTTGGTTAATTTTAAATTAAACCACAGAAGCCTGAGAAAAGGAAAATATTCCCAGAGCTGAATGCTTTGGTTTGTAGATGGGGCTTAATAACAGATACTCATGAAAGAAGATCTATTTGTAATGTTGAGTAGTACATTAGAAATACACATTATGTTGAGCCTTGGTAAGGAGGCAACACTTTGATATAATTAGCTCTGAAAAGAGCAAGAGGGGATACACTTAGATTAATGAGGCCCCAAACAACATACCTACAGAAAATGTTTAATGTTACAGCGTATCCATTTAGTTTTATCTTTTTATATATGTGTGTGTGGGGGGGTCACCTTCTTTTATTGCATCTGACTTTCATGTTGGCATCATCGTCTTTGCTGAGCTTTCACCCCTAATGGGCCAAACCAGATCCAGGAAAGCCAGCCACAGTTTCCCAGGTGGCTCTGGACGCGAGAAGGCCCCTGTTGTTTTTTTTTTCATGGGTCATTAACTGTACCTAATGGCACCGCAGACACATGGGAGCACATCAACCGGAGACACACTCCACTGCAGTTTCTGGTCACTGAAATCTCAAGGCTCGCTTTTTATGCATGATGAAAACAGGAAGTTCAGCATAGGTTTGAAGAGGGGTGGGTTTAGATAGGAATACACTGATGGGTTTGGATCCTCCAGTGTGTTTTTGTTTTTATATATATACACATATATATATATATATATATATATATATATATATATATATATATATATATATATATATATATATATATATGAAGGTCGTTTTGTATGCATTGCTTTCAAAAAGCCATACATTTGATTTTTCCCCCCCCAAGTTATAGAATTAAAAAATAACATTTATTGAGATTTCATGTAATAACCAAACAGAATTGAGGCAGAAATGATGATTGGTTTTCAGATCTGTTACCAATAAAAAAGTGTATATTTGAATTCAGGCCTCAATACTGTAGAACAACCTGTTCTTGCATTTACTGCTGTAAGAGGAGTAACCTGTTTTTAAAAAAAGAAACTTTTGGTATCCTTTTTTTGTGAAACAGCTAAAGCCCAGACACAGATCACACAATCAGAATTAGGTCTGTGCTTTGACTGGGTTGTTCAAATATGCTGTAATCTAAACCCTTCCATTATAGTTCTGTTTGCATGTTTTCAAATGTTGCAATGCTGAATGTTGAACCTTTTGAGTTTCTAGTGGCTTTTTGCAGGATTTTCCCTAGTATCTCCCCATATTTTACTCCATCCATCCTCCCATTACCAGGTTTCCTGTCTTTGCTCTAGCTGCGATGTTTCACGATGTGCATGCTGTGTTTAGGGTGAATTGCTCTTTTAGTTTTCTAACACCAGCAACATCATGTGTGACACCAAAATACACCTTTTTGTTCTGACCAGAACACCTCCTTGCACGTATTTTCTTGGCCCCTATAGCGGTATATAAGAAACAGCAACCAGTATTAGACTGTCTTTTGATAGTGCTTTACTGTAGCCTGGCCAGTCAGACTGAATTACACAGGGTGTAAATGTGGTAAGCCTCAGAATCTCCTTTTTAAAGCTGACAGGAACAATCAGCACATGAGGCAAGTTTTTACTTGCACCAGAAATAACCATAATTCAAGAGCCATTTTCTGTAAACATAACGGTCAAGATTAGACTAACCGTGGAGCTATATTTTAATTCTGCCTTTTATTACATCCTCAATTATCTGAATATTTCTAAGACTTTTTCTTTTTAAGAATGTTGTCTCTGTGTATCCCATCCATTTCCCATCTATAAAATCAGGCTCTATCACCTTCTTTCCCGAATAATATACAGTATAATTCCATAAAGGACAAATTCCATAAGGGCATTTAGTTTTGGTATTTGCCGTATGAGGGATTTGAAAACAGATGTGTATAATACCTTTCAGATTTAAAGTTTTAAGAACCCTTGAAAACTCTGCATCCCCCTCTACAGTTATCCCTTCGTTTTGATTTGTCAATGTTTTCTTGTTAAGAACATTGATATTTTTTGGCTGCCATGTGCAGGAAGCCCCCTATGAGTTCAATAGTCTGAAATGATGAGCACTTGTTTTGTTTTTGTTTAGTTTTTTCTAATTTTAATATCTATTTATCTACAGAAAGCTACAAAGGTTGATCTTTGATGTATTTTTCATGATTTAACTGAAATATGTTGTCATATTCTGCAAAATTCAGGTCAAAAACCAAGATGTTAACCAACTTAACATTACATCTCCTCTAGACAAAGGAGTGTGATGTGTTTTGACAGCAACAGCTCTCAACGTGTCCCAACAGCTCTTTCTTTCATAAACTTACATTTTTGGCTTAAAGCTTATTTTGGGCAACGTCCTGAGTCTTTCTTCTCTAGATGTTAAACAAATTTGATGTTTCTCTAACAGGTTTTGTCAGCTTTGACAACCCCGCTAGTGCACAGGCAGCTATTCAGGCCATGAACGGCTTTCAAATCGGGATGAAGAGGTTGAAAGTCCAGCTAAAGAGACCGAAGGATGCCAGCCGCCCTTACTGACACAGCCTACCTTCAGTATTTACTGCAGCAGCACAGGTGAGCTTTGAGCCGTTTCACTGGTTAAATGTTAAGGTTTCTTTGTCAGCTCAAGATTTAGCTTGGGTTAAAAATGTTTGGCTTCAATTTCCGAGCCATGAGGATTCCTTTAAATTCATGAGAAAACATTCTATAATATAATCAGATCATAAAAGGATTAAACTATTATTTTTATTCCATTACATCCATTTGAAGACTTATGACTTAAAAACTTATGAGTCTCATTCATAAGCAAAAGCAACATTTTGTAAAATTCTAAGGTTTAGGAATTTTAAAACATAGTCCTGACAAACAACGCTGATATTTACCTCTAAACAGCGGGCTAGCACTCCTGAATTGTAAATAATGTATGTCCAGAAAGCAGGAGAAGGTGATAAAGGAGAGAAGCAAAGTCATTTTAGATGTTTGTTGCCTCAGTTTGTCATATAAATAAAAAATGGCATTTAAAAGGATCTGTGAAGGTCATGCAGAGGTCAGGAAAAGTAAGAAAACTTTCAAAAAGAAACTCTGCTGGCTCATTGTTCTTCAGTGCTGCAAAAGCCTTAAAAAATGTGACTTTGGTTTGGAGAATCAGGACCAGAATTTCAAATTGAGTCTCTAAAGAAGCCTTTCAGAGTCTGAATGTAATGCGATTTGACTGATGAGTAAAAATAGAAGGTACTGCCTGCACTGAGCACGGTTATCTGCAGAATTGTATTATTCTTATAACTTAAAAACTCAACTTTCAAGCACAAAGGGGATTAATCATGCTTGGGGGCCATCAAGCTTTTTAGAAACACCTTGCCCTGCAATTACAGCTCCTACAATGTTTGCCTATTCACCACTGCAACATAGCAAAACCTCGGCCAATGGGCTGAAGACCTTGAACAGCAGGTTTTAAGTGCTGCCACAAACTCTCTGTTTGATTCGACTTTAACTAGGCTACTCAAATCCAAGATATTGGTAACGTTTTCTTTTACAGTAAATCAATAACCATGTAATAACATGGTAATATCGTAGCAAGTTACACTCTATTACTAGGTAACAAGAAAAAGTTCATGGAGAATTTTAGTAAGTGCTGTGCTTTAAATTTTTTGCAGACAAGGTAAAGTCAGACTTGTTAGATTTCAAACAGTTATTACCAGTTATTACTGTTTTTCAAGGCTGCACTTTAAAAAAGGAATTTTTCTAGAGCTGTTTTAAATGAAATTTCTATTTGTATACACTCGTGTACACAAAATGACAAAATAAATCTGTCTAATCTAATCTAAGAAAACTCATATTCATTTCATGCACATTAATAAATTAATATGTTATTATCTAGTAAAATGCTGTTTATTCCTTGGCATATAACAGAAAACCAAACCTAGAAGACTAAACAAAGAATAAACTTTGTTATATAGGTGGTGGCCAATAATCATAGAAACTGTGTGGTGAAACTTATGTGGTGACCTAATGGTAATTACCCCCCAAAAGTCTCCATTGTTATATAGTAACATACAATTGTTAGAATTACATGCAGGTAATGAATTACTTTGAAAGTATATACCTTAATTTTGGGTTAATTATAAAATAAAGTTTTTCTTGTTACCAAGTAATAGTTTGGTAAAAGTGTGACTTGCTATGTTATTAACATGTTAATACAGGATTATTGATGTACTGTAAAATAAATCGTTACCAGTGTAGTTTTTTTTTTTCTTTGGAACTCTATTGTAGACTAAGCTTGTGGGAAAATCTGTCATTACTTTGATTGAAAAAGACTGATTGGAATGACAGCATAGGTTAGTTCTCTTCAGACCATTACACTGATATAATGGAGCCATACTGAAATATACAAAGTTTAAAGAAATGGGTCTTTGGATTGAAAGTTTAATGAGGAGTGAAATTTAAAGTCACTCTTCTTTTTTCCTCTATCTTTCTCTCTCTCTCTTTTTTTTTCTCCAGAGTTTAGAGGACACACTTGAAGATATCTTGGAGGAGGTCAGCTTTTTTTCTTTGAGAGCAAACATAGGTTTTAAAAAAATCAACACGTGAGGAGATTTTGGGAGACATATCAACACTCTTATCAACACATGAGGATACAGATTAGAGCAGAAAGAGGAGTTCTGGAAAAATGAAAGGAAAAGAATGGCGCTTTCTACGGGGGACATAACAGCTACAGATGGCACCGAAGAAGGAAAACCTGGAAAAGAGACACGATGGGACTGAACAACAGAACTTTTTTCTTGTTAAGACTTGAATTGTTAAGTAAGCAACAAACAAAAAAGCAGCAACAACAAATAGATTTCTATATACATATTATATACACACATATATATATATATAAATATATATATATAAGGAACAAAGTGGCGCTTGTGGCTTTTACTGGACAAATGAGGGTTAAAACTTGAAGATAAAAAAAAACAGTGGAGTGAAGAAGCTATTCTATACGTCCACTGACAGACTTTCTTTCTCCTTCCCTCTTTCTCTTATTCTCTCACCATCTCTCAGCAAGCGCAGAACTTTGACTTTTGGAGGTCAATGATGTTTCCAATAGCAAAAGTAGAACTGCAACTCTTTCACCCCTAAGGGACCAAAGGACCAAACATTTTTATTGTTCTGAACAGCGATATATATAGTATTAATGATACTAATACTACAAACTGCTACTAATAATATCACAAGTTAAACTTAAGAAGAATTACTAGCTTCAGGTTGGTTAAAAAAAAAAAAAAAGAGCAAGTTTTTTTTTTTTTTTGGTTTCCTTTTATCTTTATAGCTACTGGGTTGGATAATATTAAAAGCAAAAACAGAAAATGTGTTAAAAAAAATAAATTAATATATAAATGAAGCTGTACTATTTTAGCAGCATAGAAGATGTGGGTTAGACGTTGTGTCGGGCATGTTCAGATATGTCATTTTATTCCTGATACATCAGCGTTGCCAGCATTTCATCTCCGAAGTGTGATCTGTCTGTGTTTCTGAGTCCCGTTTGCCAAAAGGAGTAACGATACTATTGCCACAAAGCAGCGATTGTAAAAAATCAAACAAAACCAGACCACAAATGCTGCCCTCAGTTTAGTTCAGACAAACCAATCATTCCACGCTGTCGCTAATCACCTTTATAGGACAGACCGTTTGACCATAAACCACTGTGGTAGAAGTGCCACCTGTTGGACCTGCAGGGGAAAAAATATAAATCTATTAAAGTCTCACAGTTGGTCCCTGCCGGGTCGAGCCCTTTCCCACTGCCAAGCTGCTCCCAGCAGGGGAGAGCAGAGCCCCCACCCCCCCGCGCCGCTCTTACTTTACCCAATCACTTTTCCTCCTTTACGTCAAAGTGCCAGCTTAACTGTCTGCTAACAGGAATCATCAGTGGATGAGGAAGCCCCAAACTAAACCAGAATATAATTACGATAATGGTGATATTGATCCGGACCGAGCAGCACCGCAGCAGCAGAGACACACAATCAATTGTCACATTGGCATTTCTGAGAAGCTGACTGAGTGACAGAGTTAATCTGTCTCTCACTGAAGTCTTTTCGTCTCCCTTTGTACTAAACTTATCTAACTGGGATTTATACAACAGACAAACACAAAGTAGTACAGGCTGGAATGCTGAGGGAAAAAAGGGGTTATGTTCGTCACATTATATAAATCCAAAAGCAATGCAGTCTTTTGTATGATGCCCAAAAAAGGTCTGCTTTGCGTAGAACCGTCTTTTGAAAATAACAGTTGTTGTTTGGTTTTTATCTCTAGCAGTTTTGGAAAACTGCATTTTGAATGTTTGCTCACTATTTACAAAATTGCTTGAGCTTAGTCTGATTGGGTGGAGAACATCTGGAAACGGCAAACTGCAACTTTCACAGAGGTGTACTCTAATCTAAGCAGTTTGTTTGCTGGGATAGCAATTTATTTAATGTTTTCCTATATTTCTTGACTGCCACCACCATGCCCACAGTGATGGTATGTTCAAGGCAACGTGCAATGCTAATTTTCTGTCACGCATAGCATGTTGCATAACAGTTCACTTTAGTATTATCTAAGCAAAATAAATTCTTCATGTTTGCTGTGTCCCTCACAAAGGTATAGTGGAGGATCTTCTTTGTCCGGGTTGATCATTAAAATAAGTTGTCCTCTTACGGTAATTGTCAATGATTCTGGTGATATTTTTACGTAAGGCCGTCCTACGTTTTCATCCCCATATTCACTCACTGATGGTCAGTCTGACATAGTGGAAAAATTGCAAATCTTATGGAAAGTAATCTTCTATGATCGATGCAAACAGCAACTTTTAAACACAGCGTGCACGAGGAGAAATGGGCTCGTGCGTGTCTCTTTTCAAAAATCTGCAAAAATCTTCCACTATACCTTTAAGGCAGACAGGACTTTTTCTGCCTTTTTTTTTTTTTTAAACAATGCTGTTCTTATTTCCTGATTAGTGCATTCTTTACCCAACCTGTTTCCCTTCCACTTCACGATCATTTGCTATTTTGTGTTTGTCAATCACTTAAAATCCCAGTAAAACACACTGAGGTTTGTGATAATAACATGACAAAATATAGGATGACTGCTTTTATGAGGCACTGTTGGATCTGGTCAGTAATCTAGTATTATATCTGCGTTTAAGACACGTTTTAACTAAATAGTAGATATCTGCTGTTTGATTTTAACCGAGCAGTATAATTGCACGGTTAGAGCTCGTACATAGTGAAAGGCAGCTTGCCGTTTCTAGCTATCGCAGGTTCAATTAAGAGCAAAATGATCCATCAGTTAGAGACCAGCAGGGCTTTACGTGCTGCTGCCACAGCTGCTGCCACTTCAGTGGGACAGTTTACTATTAGCCACAGTCATAGCCCCAATGCGGTGAGGTCATGGCACTGCATTCTCCATGAGACATGATTAATCAACTCAACCCCAGTTATCCTGGTCTGAAGACACACATTCAGTTGATCTCAGTTTAAATAGTTCTCTTCAAAGGCTTCTTTCTGACGGCTTCACTTTTTCCTCTTCATGGTTTGGCTTTTTCTTTTTTTCTTAAATGCCACTCCATGACTCAGTTTGCTCTTTGAAGCATTTCGCCCCTCAGGACTCACTGAGATTTTTCGCTCTCTGGTCAACATTCCAAACTTTAGGAACGTCAGCGCTCTGGACAGTAGTCCAGATTAGATTTTCCGACAAAAAAAAAAAAAAAAGACGAATTTGCCTCTGTGGTTTGTTTCCACCAGAGCGTCTCTCCGGATCCCGATGACTTTGCGCCTCTGTTTGATTACTTTTGGCTCCGCTGCTCTTTATCCTCGTGTGATTCCTGCTTCAGTGGATCAGAGTTATTATTATAATAAGAAAGAGGGAGCAGGATTCCTAGTAGGTCTCACTGCTGTTCACTGTATGCTGCTCTGTTGCAAGCAGTATTTAGATGCTGTATAAAGACATTTTGTTACATATGCCTTTTCTCATCATGAATTGCCAAAATTATTCAAGCATATCTATTGCAGTTCATCAGACTTTAAACATGTGCCAGATTTCCGTAACGCTAGTCTTATAGATATGCTAATTTTAGAAAACTTCTTTAGCAGAATGAAATATTTGATTTTGTGATATAGGATACCACAGTAGGAAAAGGGTCAGCTCCCTCTGAAATGATATACGATATAGATTTCCTGTGAAAAGGTTAGATTTCTTATATATTTGCTAGAAGACAGCTCCTTTCCCTGGGCAAGTAAATGTGAGTTTCCATGCTCGCTGTCAGGGCGAAGCAGCTTTAGGAAGCTGTGATATATGCCCTGCTTCCTCCAGGCCATCCAGAGCCTTATAAACCCCTGTCAAAATATCTCTTTCTCATGGGATTTCTACTCGAGAGCTCTTTTTTTTTTAATTATTAAAATCAAATTAGATTTTGCCTTCAAAACTGCTTGAGAAAAGAAAATTATAAATGAAAACTATGGCTGAAATGTAAGGCTTTTTAACTGCATTAAATTCTTGGCAGCCCACATTAAGGAGGAATACATAAAAACATAAAAAGGAATGATAAACAACTGAGAAAAAACAGGTGTGTCAGTGTGTGCCCACAGTGTTTACTGTGAGCTTCTGTAAAGGTTAGGTTGTTTAACATCTGTGAGAGGCTGGAAAAGGGAACTGGCAGCAATGATTTTTGTAGTTTTCCAATTAAGTTGCATGTGGTTTGAGCTAAAGTTGATCTGTTGCATAGATTTCACTCTTTTTTTTAAAATCATTTGTTCTGTTAATATTTATCATGCTACCATGGTGCCCTTTTTTTAATCTGAGCATGCTCAATAGGGGCCGGGAGGGATGAAGATTATGAATCTGGTATTTCTTGTATTAACAATATGATTCTTTACCTATTGTTTGAATGCTAAGGATAGTAGCTTATTATAAATATGAAAATCTTGTATGATATAAAAAATCAGCACAGGACCCTTTTTCTTTGGGTTACATAGAGGTTAGCGGGTTTAAACGGGGGAGGGATGGGGAAGGGTCTCGCTTTATAAAGATGTTAACTTTCTGGTTTCTCAGCACAAAAGCAGACGAAACAGAGAAGCAGCAGTATTTAGTCTCCAAGGAGACTTTGCTGAAATACAGGGCGCGAAAAGAGAAATCTCAGAACTAGTCTTTAAACTGGAAGGATAAAAATGCTGTTTACAGGTAGAATTTGTCTTTACGTTTGACTTATCTTTTTTTTTAAACAGTCTGCCACCTGTTTTGTGGCAGCATCAGTACAGCATGGATTAACTGACAGGGAAAGCAGTATCTTTTTATAATAAAAAAAAAAAAATCTAATAATAATAAATAAAAAAATATGTGTTCTGTATTAGCCTGAGAAACCAAACTTTTTCCCCTGTTAAAATTTCTTAATACTTGCTGCTTAGATTAATTCTTATTAATAATTGATGATTTACTAATTTTATAATTAATTACCTGGTCAAGTGTGTAACTTGATGTTTATTTATCAATTTATTTATTTATTTATTTGCTATTTATTTCATTTATTTATTATTTTTGTCTATTTATTTCATGGTTATGGTAAGATAATGATATGTGTCCAAAAGAAATGGTTATCGGGACTTTTCTCTTGTTCTCTCCTTTTTTTCCAATTTTACAATAAAAAAATCAAACTGGGTGGTTTTGTTTCTCCATTGTTGATCCACACTTAGAAGACAGGGGGAGTTGTTTCACTAGGAATTGCTCCCTCCCACCATTCAGGGGATGCAGATGTTTCATCCTCCCTCAGCTCACCACCTCAGAGCCTGTCACCCCTAACATGTTAAGAGTTGCAGCTGGGGTATTTGTACAATAGCCCTTTTAACAACAGAGAAGGCACATTTTTTTATGCTTAATTTTCTGTGTGTTTTTTTGGAAATATTCCAAGCATGAGACAGTTTGGAAGGAGTCAGCTGTTGGGCGCAGCATAAAAATCTTGAGAGCTGTTTAGTGTTCATTTAAATTTGAATCCTGTGTCTTTCGAGAGTGTTTTCTTTACTGCTTAACGATGGAGACGCCGTCCTTTTTATTTTAGGAAAAATTAATTGAAATACAGACAGCTGATGTGTTTGGGTCTCAAAATCCAGTTCTTGCATCACCATCATCAACAAGGAAGTGACAAAAAAAACTGTTAGATTAAAAAAGGTTAATAAATATAATTCTGAATATGAAAAGCAAG